AGGAGGACAATAAAAGGTAACAGCTACAGGTGGCTTTGTTATAGATTTCACGGTGCTGATAACAGAGTATCATAGAAATTTCAAACTTGAAGTACTATTTTTTCCTTTTTCTATATGGCTTCTGCAGTATTAGAGGCCACACCTGCCACAGTACCTTTTCCAGGCCTGAAGCCCACGCAGTAGAATGTCATGTGGAGGCTCTGCACAGCAGTTCTTCTAGAGTTACTGATATTTTTCTTCTTGTTGGCTTTTTTGTTGGTACTGCACAATTCTGAAAAATAGCACTAGTGCCAATCTGCAAAGCAACACTTGGAGAAAGCTGTGCTGACATTAAAGAGTATTTCTGTCATGAGCCAAAAGGCCAGGAGTTTCAGTGATGGGTGGTCCAAAACAGCATCCAAGCTCAGCCTGTCATGTGGGTTATGTAACTGTGCTCCAGTGCACAGAAATCCTGGGGGACTTGCATAACTCCATATTACAGCTTCAGAAGCCAAACCTTTGAGGATTGCTTAATGCCCAGCCAGGAGTTTCTCATTGAAGCACTGTAAACTTGCATGGCATTTCTTTCCCTTTATTCAGTATTATTGCCTTTATTGCAAAAAAAAAGGCTAAGCAGACCTTAAATACTTCATGTGAAGTAGCACTGCTTTGATGAAAGAAGTTTTTGCCTCATGGTAAATGGTTAGTCCCCTTGAAAAAGGAAGGGAGTGTTACTTTTGAAGCCTCTGCCTAAATAAAGCTTTATTGGTTTAGTGTCTCACTTGGTTTTCTGACAGTCAGACCCAAACTTTCAGGGAGGGAGTGTTATGTTCATTGGAAATGGCAATTGGACCTTTTTCCAGACTGAAGCCTATAGAGCTCTTCATGGTGAAAAGCTCTCTACAGCTTCTGTACAGCTCTGTCAGTGGAAGAGGCCTTGATGCTGTCAAGGAGCATAGTTAACTACAGCCTAAATTCAAATAGTTAACTTCTGCCTAAATTCAAAACAAGAGACAGACCTGAAAAAGTTTGGGTCTTTTTCCACAGAGAATTAGCAAACATTGTTTTGTTGCCAAATAATGCTTCTGTGAAGCTTTCCTGATGATCTCTTCCCAGGTCCTTTTGTCTCCTCTCTCTCCTTTGCTGTCACAGCTTCCCCAAGCATCTCTCTCTATTCTGAGCAGCCTGTCAATCAGTCAGCTCACTCTTGCCTGGGGAAATGTGTGCCCATCTCTGCCGAGTTCCTCCTATCCTGAATCCACCTCTTTGCATCTTTCTCCATCAGAGTTAGCTGAGCTGTTTTTCCTGCCCTGCCACACTTTCCCCTAAGATGACTTGCTGTGCACTTTTGCCATCACTTCTCCATTTCCTGCTCTCTAAACCAGTTTGGCCGATTAGTGAACCACCACAGTGCTATTGACTTCTCTCCTTTCAACACCATATGCTAAGAACTGCTCTCAGGTTGGTGTGTATCCTATTGATGGTAACATTGATCTTTGCCTTGCTGAGAGTCTTCATTCCCCTGCTCTGACATTTCCTTGGTTTCTCATATTATCTTGTACAAAATCTCATCAGAGATTCTTCCCATCTATGTTCTATTTTGGGCTCTGCTTTTACTGGATAGCTATTTGACTTAATCCACTGCAGCATTTCTGTAGATCTTCTGCAGAATTTTTTATTTGATGGTAGGCCTGATTTGGGCATATTAACACCAGCAGACTTCGTTACCTCTGTGGCTTTAGAGGGAAGCAATTGCCTTTAGAGAGGTGATTCCTGACAGAATCTAAGTTAGCAACATAGCTCCTGCCTAGCTTAGGTGCTCTGAATTCACTCTGCCTGTCTTCTTGCTGGGAAAGTAGAGAATACAGTGCATTTTCTGACTCCTCTGGACATTGTTGTTAACGCAGTCTATTCATGCTCCCCATTGCCTATAAGGGGTAGCATAAATTGTAGTTATTTTCAACCTATTGAAGTGATGAGAGGCATTGCAGAATTTTAAGGCATGACTTTTCAGCTTCTGCACCTAAATATTCCTTTATAACTGTTTAGCAAACTGCATCTGTAGGAGGAATAAATAGCTTCGTTTCTTTAATGAGGTGTTTTAAGTTCCCACTTTTTCTTTTCCTTTTTTTTTTCCTTAATGGGGCATTTTTCAATGAAAAACTTGACTCTAATTATTTCATCTTTTTAGTACCTAAATTACAGGAGTCTGCACGTTGGAGTAATAGACCTGTAAAGGCTTCTCTTAAAAGAAATGAAAAGATCAGAAGTAAGATACCAAAAATATGTTGCTTTCTTCTGTGGATTTCTTTTCTATGCAAGTAAAAATGATTATTTCCTTTTCACTTTCTTATATAGGTGCTGATTGCTGCCAGTTTCATGCTGATTGCTTCAGTTTCTTGGGGGGAGAGAGCAGGTTGAAGAAATAGGTTCTATTTTTGTAGAAGAAAAAGACTTATGTTGACTACCTATTATAGTCTATAAAAATAAATTTTTAGCTTATTTATATAAACTTGACAAAGTGTCAAGTTCTTTTAAAACAGTGTTTAGCCAGTATTTGTGTGGTTTCAGTCTATTATATGAATTCCTAAAATAGGCAGATTATTTAGAAACTCTGCCCAAAACAGGTGCTGCTTAAATCTTAGCCTATTTTAGACCCACTGTAAAAAAAAAAAAAAAAGACACCAATACTTTTGAAACTAGTTTAATGTGAGGATAGTTTTTACTTGTCTTTCATTTTAATGTTTCTGTTTCCTTTTCCGTCTTAACTACGGGTGTAACATTGAATCACTGCCTGTGTATTTTAAGAGTCCTTCCACAGTTATGGGTGTGGATCATGTAGTTCTTCCTCTTTGCTCGGCTTGCTGTCTCTGTTCACCTTTCGTATAATCAGCAAATGTTAATTTACTGTAGTCTGTTTCAGAAGGCCTTGCATGGAGGGTTATTAGAATTGTTTTTCCCAAGAGAAATTAACAGAGAATTAATGCTATTTTGGAATATAGCAATGGATTAAGTACTTTCATGCTACCTGTCTTTGTGGCTCTTGCTGACTTGTACTGGTGGTTTTGTGTTTATAGGCAGTTTTTTTCTGTTTGTCTTCTTTGTCTCTAAAATGATTTAATGAGTTTTTGAAATCCTCAACTTGCAAAAGTGAATGTAGTTTGGAGTGCACCTTTCTAGGAATGTTACTGTCATTTATTAAATAGTTCTTTGAAGTGTTCTGCATTGACTAGAGTCAACTTCACAAAATGTGGATGGGAGATAAATGGATATTTTCCTTCCAAAACTAAGCATTTTTCCAGAATTACTTAATATTACCCTAAAGAAAACTTGTCCAATATTAAATGCACTAATTAGAGCTTAGGATTCAGTTCCCAAGACTTTTTACAAAATGTCAGGCAAGTAATGAATAAAATCATTAGCAGCTCAGTGAGGTGGGTCCTAGAAACTTGTACCTCTGAGCCTCAGTCTCAATCTGCTTCATTCTTCCATTTGAAAAAAAACCAAAACAAGACATAGTCATCCAGTCCCACACCTTGCCCCCTAGAAACACCTAAAATGAGCTGGGGGAGGGAAAACCAGCCTTCCTCTGGTTTGGGCTAAAAGCTTTGAGGTAATCTAGAGAGCAAGTAACGAGGATAATGTGACCTCATCTCCAGGTGCATGCTTTTTCTGTATCCTCAGTTGTCTCAGATGCAAAATGCATGCCAACAGACCTGTCCGTTTCACCAAACTAGTCTGTGTGTGAAGGAAGCCTTGGTTCTGTGGCCCAGCCAGGCTGGAAAGGACAGCTGCAGCTCCCAGGGTGCAGAGTGGCAGGACCTGTGGGCTGTGACCATCATCAGGCAGGTGCAGGAGCAGCCATCAATTCCAAAGAGCTGAAGAACAGAATTAGAAGAAGGTGGAAATGGGAAAGAGCAGGTTGATAGAAAATACTTGTTTTATTGTCTTTGTAATATAAAAAGATGATGTAATCTTACCAGTTTAGATCGGTGCAGTTTACCTATAAACAAGAAGTTGTATGTTAAAATAAAATTCAAGGACTTGGTCTTTTCCCAAAACACTCTATGACACAAACACCTGTAATCTTTGGTCTCACCTTAGTCACCAAGCCATTCCATGCCAGAAACCTTTAACTCTAATAGAAAGTGAAAATATTCTAAACATACAGCAATATATTAATGCATGCTTATGGATTATACATAAACTTATGAAGTACATTAAAAAGAGAAGCAGAAACCCATCACAGCACTGATATATCACCTGCTCTTCCAACAGACACATGGAAAAAGATGTCATAACTGGTGGGTCTCTTTGGGATCTGTATTTTTATGTACCTGCCAGAAAAGAAAATGGTTAATTTAATAAGGAGATTCTGAATTGATTATTTTATAAAATCATTATTACTTGCCTACTTTTACTGTCTCTGTAGGTTTGCTGGTTTGGAATTGACTGTTCTTAGAATAAGACATGTAGCCTTTGACATATAGATTTTTTGAAATCCCATTAGGAACACCACAGTGCTACTTTTAGTGAGCTTTTTCTGTGACCTAATTTTAGGAAAAATCCCAAATGATCTCAAATCTATTAAGTTCTGAGTGTGAAAATTTAAATTAGTCATGAAACACTTCCATTATCAACACTTTTAATAAGCTTTTTCACCTTGGGCTCCCTGCTGGATGCACAACTCAATGTGTACATTACCTTAGTCTTTGACTGGTCCCATTGATTATTTGGTGACATTAATCTGGAGAATAATTTCCTGTGTACCACAAATACATAATGACTTCAAAGTTGTGAGCTTGCAGATAACTCTTTATGATTGGATTGTGTTCTAATATTTTTAATATTTTCTTCATTTGAAAGAAGGTATAAAGAATTTTGAGAAGAAAGAAAAATTACTTAACCCCGTGGCTTTTAATTATATTTTTTTTATTGATCAACTTACATTTGGGAGCCCTCTTTGCATTTTGTGAAGCGCTGTATTACACTGTAGTAAGAGCAGGACTTTCTTTTTTTTTCGCAATGGAGGCAAAGAATGACAAAAATAGGAATAAGAGAATGAGGCCCATAAACATGTCTAATAGGCAGTTACTTTTCATGGCCTTACTAGTTAGGAACCTATCAAAAGATGATTTCCCTGCTGAAAATAGGGACTGGTTAACTTGCAAAAAACTGCAGATAAGTTGGGAAGACAGCACAAAGCATTAGAAATCTGTTGTGCAACCACAGAAATCTCATTACAGCTGCTCTTTCTTTGTGGAAATGAGGAGTAAATTTTGTAACAAATACTGCAGGAATAATCATCAAAAATGTCCAGCTTTGCATTCAGTCTTACAGGGTTATGATTTGTTTTCCCCAGTGCAGCAGATGGTACTGGGAAAACAATAAGTCTTTGCATCCACTTTCTCCAGCACTGACAATTGTTCTTTCTGAGGCATTTGAAGAATCTACCAGTCACAGGTCACCAGCATGAGATGTACAAGTCCTGCATTGTGGAGACAACAGGAAGAACTTCAGTTTGAAAATGTTTAGAGTATATTGAATGAGAAAAATGAGTGGATTTAGAGAATATCCATCAGAGTATAGAATTTTGGTAGACAATGTGAAGAACTGTGATGTTTAAGTCAGACAGGCTTGCCTCAAAATGAGTTTATGCCTGGGTTGTTTGGGTGTCTCTTTTCTTAGGATTCACAGGTCAATATTCAATTGAAGTGATTGTATGAGGGCAGAAAATCAGCAGACTGGTTTGCAACAGAGGGGTAGTTGTGCATTGTATAGAAAAATAAAGATTGTTTGGAGTAAGGAATTTGTGTCTGTATTGATAGAACAAATTTTAATGTTCTTGGAAGCCTGGGGAGGCTGGGTGTGTTCTGACATAGTTTCTCTGTTACCCAAACTGAATTTATGGCACGTATGTAAGATTTGAGATTATGGATTCTTCTGCACTTGCCCTGTGTTGGGATTTTTTAGGAAAAAACTAAGTTCTAAATATGAGGGGAGTGAGAGCAGGCACACAGTAATTGCAAATGGTGTCTTGCTTGATTATCAGATTTAATGTGTCATTAGGGTCTTGCTGACCTTTTCTGTGGATGCAAAACATGGGCAGATGTTAGCATTAGAGAGAAAAAGAGAGCAGAAGTGGATAGATGTGAGCAGGCCGACTGCCAAAAGATCAGCTGACTCTGTGCTGACATCAAGAGCAATCTGGAGAGTCCTCCTTACCCAAGCAAGCCTTTGCCATGCATGGTTGTCTGTAGATGCAGGAGCCACAGCAGTGTCTGTAAGCCAGTCTCTCATCTGGTCAGTAATTCTTTGTTGCTATGGGGTGTGTTGTCCTTGTCTCGTTTTGGCTGATTTCTCTGGTCTTAGTCTCTGCAGTTTGTTGTTTCATCTGGTGAGAAAAGACAATTAAGGGGAAATGGGCATTTAGGTTGTCTTTTGCATTTTCACTGGATTTGCAGAAGTACTTCCCTCTGAGATCTGCATGCAGTGTGTTACTGACAACTTGTAACTTTGTTGTCTCTTCCCATTGCAGTCTATGTAGCTTTGGATTGTTAGGGAGTAATAAAAAATACATTTTACGTGGGTCACAGCTATAGCAGTAGCTTGAGGAGGTGGTCTCAGTGAAGAGATGTACTTGTGTGGAGGAAATGGTTTCCCACAGCCTCTAGTGGGTTGCTTTGCTCGCTGCTTTTTAGAGAGGACTGCAAGATGCTACTGAGTGCTGGATGATGTAGTGAAGGTAAAAAGTTCAACTGCTACAGTGTGTCCTGTTATTAATCTTTAGAAACCTTGAGATAACTGTGCTAAGTGCATCATCCTCTTCCCTGCCCCCATACCCAATCACTAAAGATCTGCTTTCATGTGTGGCTTCCTCTGTTCATTGTCTGTGCAGGGTAAAGACTCTGGTTCTGACACTTCTCCCAGCAGGAGTCTTAATTTTCCTGAGAAGCAAACAGTGCTTTTGTCATGGCATATCAAAATACCCATGAAAGGTAATTAGATGGAAGAAAGGAACCTGCTAGTGAGATGCACCGAAAGGGAAGTCTGATAGTCTAATGAGCAAGACACTGAGATCTAGTTTCTGCATTTTCTTTTCTGTGGACATATGTCAAGTCAGTTAGCTGTGTTGGTAAGATAATGCAAAAAATATTTATCTTTCCAACCTTTTGCCTATATGTATTTTCAAACGACGTGCTCTTTTTGCAGTGGGTGTCTTCTACTGCGTGTGTGCATGGTGCTCACTTCCATGTGTGGCTGCTCACTGGTACTTTGGAAAGCATTTTAATGACCTTGTCAATAATAAATGAGTAATAGCTGGTTCAGAAAAATAAGTCTTCTTTTCCTCTTGAAAATGTCTGTCAGTGCTCCTCAAAAATTAGTGTCTCTGAACCCAAACCTTTACATGGCTCAGAAAAACAAGATTACAAAACATTAGGATGCAGCAGAGAGTGTAGCTGTTGAAAAGATGACTGGAAAGCTAGGAGGGTGAGGGTGGAAGGAGGCACTGTGGACATTGGCAGTGGTCCTCAATCTGCTTCTGCATCAGGAGCCAGGTCTGTCCTTGAAGAGAATGAATGCTCTTTTTTAATTTCTTCCATTCCCTCCCCACCCCCAGACAGTATAACCTAAGAAGAATAAGGCTCAGAAACAAGATTAGAGGTTTGTGTTCTCAGTAAGGACATTCTGAGATTTAATGAGAAAGCAGGTTAATAAGAAATCTGACAATCTGGAATAGGCTGTGAGAAATAATTTCCACCATCACTGGCTTAATGATGACTTTAAAAATAATTCCGAACAAACTAATTCCTAGAGACAGGGAGGTGATAAGGAAGAGCAAGATTCTTGAGCCTGGTACCATGTTGAATAGATACTATAGAAAAGGCTTTGCTTGCTTGTTACCTAAAGGTGAAGAAGGAAAAAACATTTTCTGTAGACTGCAAAGAATAGTCTACACTGCCTCTTGATGCAGAATCTCTTGCAGCAGTGTTTAGTTCAGAAGGCTGTACTAAATTTCTGGTCAAGATTTCATCCACATCTGTGTACATTCACTTTTTTGGAGGATAAGAAGCTTCAGGTTTTCCCACTTTTCAATCCCTGACCCAGCCCCTTTCTAGTGCAGAATGTCCAGCAAAAAAAAAGCTGATCAATTAAACAACAGGAAACTGGTGCCTACAGCATCTAAATCACATCTGATTTGTAGATGAGGTCATTTGCAGCTGAGGCAAGTACATGCATTTTTCACAGTGGGTGCTCACTCTTGGTGTGCTTTATCCCTTTGAGGCCTTTAACAGCTCTTTTCTTTGAGTCAGCTTTGATCCAAATCTTGGCTCTTAGCTGGACAGCAGCGCAAAATTGAATGTAAATATACAATTGCATGCCATGTATTTTAAAGGAGACAAAAACCACAACTCCCCACCTCCAAAAAGAAAACAAATTACCATCCTCCAAACTCCCAGACATGTGAAGCATCATCCAGTTTTGTCTTCTTCTCTGCCTATGTCATAGATGCCATTTGGACATTGTTTGTTTTCCTGATTAAGATCCCAGGTGTCTTGGTTTATTTTTTTGTTGCTGCTGTTGTGGTTTTTGTGTTTTGGGGTTTTTTTTTTCTCTGATATGCTGTGGTTCTTAGCATTCTCTTACTTATTCAAACATTTAAAACATGAAAATAAAGCCTTGGAAACTTAACAGGAGCCTTGGAAACTTAACATAGTCACTGTCATTAGTAAACTGGGGGAAAGGATGGGATTCAACAGATTTTCTAAGTGATAGAATACTAATGGTTTTAGGGGAAAGAATTTAATTCAGTGTATCTTCATAGATACCAACTATTCTATATCCCCCTTGTTTATGCTGTTTCCATGACCATGCTTCAAGAATTGTTTTGCTCAGCTTGATTCCTTCTCATCTCTTGATCCCTGCCAAGGCAGTGTTCTTGGCTGCTTTAAGAGACATGGAATTCGCACTCAGTAGTACAAGGTTTGTTCAGCAGTTTTACCAGCCAGATACAGTCCTGAAGAGTGCTGCACACATACTTGGATTGAATGGGCAGGGGTACCTTTCACTTTACTGGGCTTTGAAAAAGAAGGAATTCTTTAAAATGACAAAACACACAGACCCATGAAAGTCATGCTTTGGTATTAGCCTTTCCATGAGAAATCTCAACACAAATCTGTTTAGCTGGGTGATAGCCAACTGGACATTTGCTAAGTATGAGGAAAAATGTTCAGCTGTAAATGCTTTGACATAAACCAAGTGTTTTTGCCCCAAACTATCTGGAATGTTTGTATGAGTGGCTCTTTAGCAAGTCTATGTGGTTTTGTGACATTGTTTGTTCCTTCAGCCAGCATCTTCTTTTGACAATACTTGCTTGATTCCTCCCACTGTAACTTGTTGCCATGTACTTGACCTGATGGCTCAGTACTAGATGGCTTCTCTTGAAGGCTGAATCTGTTAAATACTGCAGCTGCTTAGTACAATGTGCCTTTCAGAAATAAGTGGGATCAGTACAGCAATGCACATCAAGTGTCCAACATTTAGTGCCTAACTTTGGCTTCATGATGCTTTGCTTGTTCATGGTGGGGAGTCTGGCAGGCCTGGGAAATAAATACGTGTTCAAAATGCTTCTTTGACTAGGTTATCAGTGCCTGGTGGGATGAATATCTGTGGGTATCATCCCAGAACTCAACCCTAAACCCAAATGCACTGTTCCAGTTTATAATGCCCCTATTCTCTTTTCCTATAGGCTCTTTTCCCTGCTAAACTGATGTCAGGCACAGAGCATTTTTGCTCATATGCATTCCTTCGTACAGTCCTTCCTACAGCTCTCTCATCTCACTGTATTTGAGACCAAATTTGCTGTGCCCAGAGTACTTAATGAAATCAGACACTTTGCTGTGAAGTTGTAACGAATAAATGCTTATTGCCCAGACTCAATACTTTCATTTGACAGTCTTTCGTGTTTTGTTTGAGTTCTGCCCCTATTCTTGAAAGCCCACATTTATCTTGTAGTAGTGCATCACCTGCCATACCATGGTATTCACTTGGTATGCATTCCTGACAGATATATTTGTGGTGAAGCAGAATTGCTATTCTGGGGGAAAAAACCCAAACCCTGAAGCGAACAAACGAACTGAAACTGCTCAACTCTATAAGATTATGCAGAGGATAAAATCCAACTTCTGGAGCAGTCTGCAGGCACGCACAGACACAGGCAGGCAGCGAGTGCCTGTGTCACAATGAGCTGGAGCAAGAGGAAGCCTTGAAACTTAAACTCCTCCTGCAGCTCTGCATCTGCTCTGAGTCACTGCTATGACTCACACCAACAGTGTTCACGTTAGCTAGCGCTCAGATGGAGCAGCTCTGGCAACAGAGGAAGCAGGTTATATTATTGATTACCTGCTGCAGCACACAGTTGCACCAAGATTCATTTTTACAAGCACAGATGAAACAGAGGAGGCTCTACTGAGCACTGCTATTATTATTAGTATTGCTTTCTCAAGGTAAGAATGTCTGTTTATTTAAATACGTACCGTAGGGAATTTGGAGCTTGTGAGGTCTGAATTACTGTTGCTGCTATCCTCAGAGGATGCTGATCTTTGGAGCTGCGTTGCTGCAAAGCTTTGTCTGGGCTGTTTGCTGTGCCATATGGAGAATCATATGGCTAATGGGCAGTGTGTGTCCTAGGAAACAAAATAACTACTTTCTCATTCATTGATGTTATGTAAGGCATGGCAGCCATGTTAAGGACAGAAGACCTCTTTTGAAGAAACAGTGCTGCTAGATGGTAGGACAAGGAAAACAAGTAGTTTTTAAGCAGCTCTCTGTTCTTTGGAGGGTGCTGCAGTTCTCTAGTTCTTGCTTAATGAATTTCTGTGTCAATAGAATAAAAAAAGCAGTTGTATTTGAAGTAGCAAAATAATTGTTTACCTTTAGAGTCACTGTGTTGTTCTGCCTTCAGCATTCAGGCTGAGACTGTGCATGTGATCTGTGCAGTGCCTGATGTAAACAGTTTCTTCAAATACTATAAGTGGTCCTTCCAGATATTGGGGTGATTTTCATCTTGTGCCACTAAAAGCACATATGTCATGTTCTGGCAATTAGTAATATGCAAAAAATGAGACATGTTCTAGTTGGTGTTGACATATGCAGAGTAGGTGTAACATTTGTTTATAGTGGCTTTACTGCTATTTTACTCACTTTAGTGCTATAATTTTAACAGAGGTTAGACTGGTATGGCTTATTATGCTCTTGTAGAATCCTCTGAGTCTTGAGCATTTGCTATATTCCCCACAAGAGATTTTTGTAAGCTAGGGATTTAGGTTTTGAACTGCAGTAGTGAATTTATCTTAATTTAATTTTTTCTTTTCTCCCCTTCCCCCCCCCATTTATTTTGTATTTTCAAAGCAGTATGCTTTTAAAGTACAGTGAGATTGGCAGTTGCTTTCAATAGTAAGGGAGCCAGATCACTTGTGTTTGTTTTCAGAATAAGGGGATGAGGGTATTTTCAAAACCTGATCATTTCCTAGATTGCTTTCAGGTACTTGAAATTACCACTCATTTCCATGTAGAATTTACATAAAAGGGGCAACTGTCATCTTTTCTGGAAGAAATACAGTGCTGTAATAATAGCATTTAAAAATGACAGCATCTTTAGGTTCTTCTTCTGTATGCTAGTTTGTAGCATTTACTGATGGACAGTGTTTTCATTGCTATGAATTAACCAGATTTGGTGTTACTCTACCTTTTATAATAGATTCGTTTCCTTAATAAAATGGAAAGCAAGGTCTGTTAGTGCATTTGTAGGATCTTTATACTTCTGATGACATACAACTTGGAAAAATACAGTGTGAGAGGAGCATTTAAAACAATGTCTGTCATGGATGCCCAACTGCCAGAGGAAAAATTTTGTTGACTAATTTTTGTGACTTGTGTTTCTGATATTAAATATTTCTCATGTTACAGCATTATAAATGCAAACTAGTTTAAATAGTGGGTTTGGGACTGCTCACTAACAAAATTCTGGCACATGACAATCTCCTTCTCCTCCCAGACCCAAGCAAGTAGAAATAAAACATTCTTTACAGTCTGAATTTTTCCACTGACTTGTATCTTAATTACTGTTATTTAAGATTGTGTCAGAATTTTGCTTAAACAATTGCCTTTAAGTATGCATTTAGGTACATAAAATCTGTGTTAAGTGCAAAGGAACCAGCTGCATTTGATCCTTCTGTGGAGGGATTTTGCAATAAGTGTAACAGGGCTTGTCAAAGTCTGCTCTCAAGGCACCCTGTTAGTTGAGTTTTGTTTCCTTAAGATGGCTTTGTATTAGGCTGCAAAGGTAACAAGTGGCAGAGGCTATTTGGATTATTTCACTGGTACTTTTTGGCAGGACTTGAATTGTGAGAGTTCATTACATCCTTGGCCTTTCTTTTCTGTAAACCCAAACAGAAGATCCCAGCTCTCTGTTCTCCCCTCCTGTTCCTAACCTACAGGATATCACAGCTGTTTTTCTCATCTCTGCATTACTACAGAGCCATGCTTTGTTATTTTTGCCTTCTCTAAAGCTTTTGTGAACTTCCTGCTGAAATTTAAGCCCCCTTTTTAATTCTCACTTCAGCTGCTCAGGTGTGGATTGTCTCCCCTTGGTAGGTTTTCCACCTAGGAAAGCCTTGAATGCCAGAAAGCTCACATAATTCATCACTTCCCTTTTGCTCCTTGTGCTGCTTGTGTTCCAAACAACAGATGGGGTGCTCAGGTTGTCCTTTATTTGTTTCTTCCTTTGTAGAACCTCTTGCCTTTTTTTGGTGGCTTCTTTTGTGGCCATGCTCTGTGTTACTCTGAGCCCTTTGTCAACCTTCCTGGCAGCTGCTGGATTAACTCTGATCCCTTACATGTTCTGCTCTCTCAGTCCTTGAGCAGAAGTTTGAAAAAAGACAGTGGCATCTTCCTTGGGCATGTGGTTCTACCTCTCCTTGCCATGATAGCAGGAAATGGCTGCAGGAAACAGAGCTGTTGCTGTGGGTAGTACGTAGATAAATTAGGACCCTAGAGAAGATAAGGCATTTCTCCAAAATTCTTTAGTGGGAGGAAGCACTTACTCTCCTGTTTTACACAAAAGCTGCATTAGCAATGATTTATAACTAGCCTTGCCTGATGAAGAACTTAGGGGAAATCCAGTCCTGTCATTGCAGTTCATTTAATTTATGTGAGTCATCTTTAATATGAGTGATATTTTTTATTGTATTACATTTTTAGCTAATGATCAGCCCAGACTGGACCATTGCTGTTTCAGAAGCTAAGTTTTGCACAGAGTAAAAGATAGCTCATGCATTGAATAAGGATTTATATTTTTCCCCAGAAGAAATAGTTGCCATATTTTCTGTGGTGATATGCTGTTTGACATTAGACTTCCTGATAAAGGACTCTGCAGTATATGAAAAAGCAGCATCTTGGTGTTTGTGTGGTACATCCTTGTCAGAGAACAGCACAGCATTTCTGTTTTCAAATAGGAATTTGAAATGGAGGGAGGGAAAAAATTTTATGAGTTGGGGTTTTTTTACAAGTTTTTGCTTCTTTTTTTGCATGTTTGAAGTAAACCCATGTAAACTGGAGTTCTGTTGGAATAGAATCCTTGCATGTGAGCAGTATGAATAGCACCATTTGCAGTACTGAACCATCTTGTTTGTTGAAGAACTTCTCTTTTTATTTGTGTCATTTTTAGAGATGACAATTTTTACATGAGTTATTTTTGTGGTCTTGTATAAGTGTAAGCATCTAGAGGGCATCTCCTCAGCCCCTTTGGCTGTTTTCTGAAGAACTCTTCTTATAGGGATTAGATTTGTTGCCTGGTTTTAAAGAGGAGGGGGAAAGAGTTGTTAAATCTTTGTTTGTGGTGTGTCCTGAAAAGCTTTTCACTTAATCCTGAAGCAGTTCAAGCAGGAGGACACAGTGAGACAGTGAGCACATCCTGGTTGCCCTGGAAGGCCTGAACTGCTACAGGGGCTCCCAGCTTATTGTGTTGCACAAGCTTCTGCATCAGGCAAGAAAAGTCACAATCTCATTTTTTATCTGTTTTAAACCTTTGTGTATTTTGAATCTTGTGTTGGTTTAAATAAAGAGTGAATGGTACAGCCTATACTCTGAGGATAACAAAGATGGTCCTTTCATTTGCCTTCAGGGCTGGGGTTTTCACTTGATTTCATGGCTGTAGTCCCCCTGTCGTGCTCTGGAGTCAGAACCAGTGTGAGGATGAGGGTGGTTCATTTTGCTCTGGTTAAATGAGGTTATGGCCTGGATTATGATGGCATGTTATTTCTGTGCAGAATTGTCCTTGTATTTTATAGGGATGCAGAAATCTGGGATTAGCTCTGTTTTCATTTCAAATTGATGCTTTGCTTTTAAAGCAACAGAGTACCCGTGACTTGTCTGCATAAGCTTAAATAAACAGCACCTAATTGGTAGGTTTGATGTCTCACATAACACTGAATTGACCTTCTATGTTCAGGTGAAACACAGTTTCAAGGGTGTGGGTTCATGATCCTTAATTCCAATTTACTTTTTAGATAAATATTGTTAGTTCCAGATGACAAAGCAGCTACAGGCAGAGGTGAATAACAGAGTATGGAGTCTGCTGTTAAAAAAAAAAAAAAAAAAGGCACTGCAATATTCTAGATTGCACTAAATGCCAATAACTTCATCCAATTTCCTGTATGTGATAGGTGGATGTATTATGAGTCCCAGATTCCTGAAATACAAACTGCTATAATAGATTTCCTCTGTCTCATTTCAGAAATAGACACAAGTGGCCTGACTTTACAGGATAAGATTTATTTTTTCCCAGGCTTCAATGTTATTTCTGTCAAACAGTTGGAAGGGCTTCTTCTGAGGATATGTGGACCAAAATGGTAAAATGTTGATTTGTATAATGCACATACAAGGACATGAAATAAATAATGCCATGTTGACAGTGTCCTCTATGTATGAAAAGGACTGTGTCACAAGTATTGCTGTCATTAAATATTAGCATCATGGCTCTAAATACATGACGTAAAAATGCATGCAACTGAGCTGGCTAGAGTGAGCTCTTTCTGTCATAAACACTCTCTCAAATGTGGGTGTCTGGGAAAAGTTGCTCAAATTATTCTCTGTTCCTGAGAGACATAGATGACTTTCAATTGTGTTTTGGTAAACAGGAGGTAGTGAGTAATAGGAAGAATGTGGCCATTGTGGTTTTGCCTGCATAAGGAAGATTTCTCATCATTGTCCCATAGCTCTGTAGATTCTGATGAGAACATGGTATTATAATGCTGATACTTATACAGAAAACTGATTTTACACAGGAAAGTTGCTTGGAAAAGTGACTACTCTTTTGCTGGTACATAGTAAGGAAGACAGATTTTGCTGGAATGCAGTAAGAGAGACAGAGTGCATGGGCAGAGTGGAAAGAGATGAGCACCTTCAGGGTACAGAGAGCAGTTGAGAGTGGGGCCTGGTTGGGCACATGGAAGGATAAACCTCCATTTGCACAGGGAGAGTGTGAGGGAAACAGCTTCTTTTATGTGTAGAAGTGAGACAAGGCTGCCAGTGTCTATGTCTGTGTGTGATCTGAGGAAGGGAGGGGTTTGGCTTCAACACCCATGTTGTCTTCATTCTGACTTCCTTGTAAATGCTTTGACTTTTTTGGTGTGATGCAAATATTTCCTAATAACTCAAGAAGGACTGTGTGTTCTTTTCTGTACTTGTTAGTAGGATTTATATTTCAGATATCTAAACATCACCGTATCTTTAAATTTCATGGAAAATCGAAATGTCACAAGGGGCCACCAGTAAGAATTTATTGTGGGCTAGAAAAAATTTGGCACAGGTAAGAATTGTCTCTTTAAAAAAGAGGTGTCTTTAAATAGCAATTTAATGTAAAATTTAGCAGAAAGACAAATGGAGGACAGAACACTTACCAGTGAAGATCT